AATAAGTTACTGACCTTTTTGTAGAAGTAAATGTGCAAACAACATGCACATATATCAGTATCCCCCATATATCAGTACAAAAATGTAATAATAAAAATAAACAGTAAGAAAATAAAAATAAAATTGATATCAAATTTCTATTACAAATTGTTCTAAGGCTTAATTTTTTTAAGATCCTGTAGTGAGCGTATTGGTAAGACAGGAGATGAGTCAGTTTTTCGTACCAAAACTGTACCATTCTTGTACCAAACATATTTGTAGTTACATGTTTTGGCCTTTTCACGGGATTCTCGAAAAATCTGTTTATTTTTTAAGGTTAGATGTTCATTTATATATATTTTATTCGATGATCCAGTAATAGACAACTGTTCTGAAGTTAAGCCTTTTTTAGCACGGTACGAAGCTACAAAATTATCACGCAAAATTTTGGACTTAAATTTTATTATGGCATTTTTAGGTCGTTTATCGTTTTCACCAACATGAGGAACCCGATGGGCCAAAATTATGTCAGATGGTTGGATTTGCTGGTTTATTAGCACGCCAATATTAATAATAACTGTAACAAGATTTTCTCCACGGCGCTCAGGCAAATTTGATATTTCAATGTTACAATCACGTGCCTGTTGCTCCATCGCAGCCAGTTTGATCTCCATAACATCTAATTTGTCAGATAAATAGTTGTCTTTAGAGACTTGACTTTCTACGGTCTTAAGCCGTGTATCAAACGATATTGACTGCTCATTAAGATCGGATAAAGTAGTATCGACCTCCGACAGACGATTATTTAAATCCGTAATACGTTGTTTTAAATTAATGTTCTCATCTCGCAGCTCAGATATGGTTGTGTTTAGGCTTGATAATGAGTGGGATATTTTAGCCAAATCGTTGGAAATCGTGGAGGTAACTATATTTGTAATAGTTTCCTTAATTTTTACGTCTAATGTATTAAAATGTTCATCAATCAGTGCGGACAGAAATTCCGAGTCATACCCTCCAGTGAAACGCTTACGTGTATTTACATAACTAGCATCCGATGTAGTTAGACTTATGTCTGGGTTTGATGGGCACTTAGGCGGAGTTCTCTGTAACTTGGACATTACGCACAGTATACTTGCGATATGAGGCAGGAATAATAAGACAGAGATATTACACTTTCGCTGTCTTGAGGGGGGTGACGTGCGGGCTCCCTTCAGTTGCAACTCACAGATGCGATGCAAGAAAGAGATAAACACAAGTATTAACACTGATGAGTAGTAATGTTAAACTGAACAGTAAGGACTCTTAACTGGGTAGTCACAAAGTTCAATTTTAATTAGTCACCATTAAGGAATTATTTAGAAAAAAGATGTACACGTCCACTTCCAACAACTCTCACTCGATGTACGCTTTGCTGATATATGTAAGGATTTCAAAAAGCCACAGAGTAATCCACATGGTGTTCGATATAGTGAAGAAGTGAAAGCTTTTGCTTTAACTTTGAATTTCTATTCACCTAAGGCTTACGAGTTCTTAAGAAAATATATAACTTTACCTCATGTAGAAACTATACGAAGATCTTTATCTTTATTTAACTGTAATGTTGGTTTCCTCTCTGAAGTGCTGGAATATTTAAAAGAACAAGTTAAAACACCTGAAAAAATATATTTAAAAAATGTTGCTTCAATATTTGATGGAATGGCATTAAAATAAAATTTGGCATATGATCAAAAATAAGACAAAGTGGTTGGGTATGTAGATTTAGGACCAATTCCTGTTAATGATCCAGAAAAATTAGCTACCGAAGCCCTCGTGTTTCAAATAGTGTCTTACGGTGCACGTTTTAAGTGTCCAATTGCATATTTTTTATAATTATATACTTAGTGATTTACGTGGTAAGAGTCGGAAACTACACAGAGCAATGATATTTAGACAATTTTCAATAAATGATTTTAATATGGAAAATGTTTTTATTTATTTGAGTTTTTTTATATATTACCTTTCCTATTATAGTACATATGTTACTAAATATCTATGAAATCCGTCATTATATAGAATTCCTAGGAATTATTGATAATTCTTAAAATGAACAGAATGTGTGGAATATAGTATTACACATTTCAGCTCAGAGCAGCCTGACTCTGATGGGTAAGGTCAGAAGTCTAAGGCAGGAGCTCCGCTAAGCTCTTTTAGTCTTCGTGATATTTTTTTAAAATAATTGTCCAAAAATAGATTTAGTCTGTCTGAACAATAAATCGGGTATATTTTGCCCAATTCATGGAACACCCGGGGTGTTATAATAAATTTTAATTTTATATTTCGTTGGTATCGTTTGGTATTAGATACAATAACTAGAAAATACATTATCGAAATGGTAGTTATAAAATATTCTCTGATATATTTATTTTCCACATTTTCTAAATAGGCTCGACATTATATGGGTTGTAACGAAAATGCGTGGTCATATTTTAAATACCGGTTCTGTCCATGGAAATGACAACCTTTCTTCATAAAAACCAGTCAATTCCCAAAAATTGTACAAAAATATATTATCTATATAGGCTAGATCTTAGTAGTAAACAGAGATTATTATTAGATATTTAAAATAAACCACTTAATGAAATGCAACTACTTATAGCGATATCCTGGGAAAAATAAAATAAAGGTAACCTACTTAGAAAGAGAGGGTTTGCCCACAGAGAGCGAGATAGTAATACATAGGTTAAGCTTCAAGTAGGTGTTCGGAGTGTGGTCTCCATCCTTATCTATAACTTCATGTTTGTTTGACGTTTTTTTATCGATGGGTCAGTTCTTTTTTTATTAACTTGCCTTACAGCTCTGGGTTCTAGCCCTTCTGAGCCTAAGCCAATGGGTGAGTTCACTTCATAATGAACTCAGAGTAGGCATGTCGTTCACTCTTAAAAAATCGAACTCTGAACCGATTTGAATCGAAGATACTGATAGTATCATCATAGGTATCAATTAAATCGAGGATTAAAAGATCGATTTTTGATTAATCGCGACATTTTCAAACATGAAATTTCAAGAATTTGCGATTTTTTCTTTAATTGAACTTTAATATATTTTTTAAATAAAATATTAGTAATCTTATTAATTAACATTACTAATATTTCTTTTAACCACTCCTGGTAAGCTTGAAATGCTTGTATTAGGAGTGGTTTGCACATACGCCACTCGATGCCTTTTTTTACAAAGTGATTCCGTGTATATTTTTATTTGAAATTTTAGGCTAATACTAACAATACCTTAACAAAAATGCAAACTGCAACGTACATTTCTCAATAAATCTGTTTCAATCTAATCACTCACTATTTAGAAAAATGAATTAAATTACACTTAATTAAAATTAAGTGAATGCTACACGAACACAATACTGGTTATTTCCTTACTATAAACATATATCAACATATAATATTTATTTACAGTATCTAGGTACTTAAAAAGTACTCTGTCTGTACTTATAGCTCACAGTATGTATGTTTTTGATAATAAATAAAGTAAATTCTCAAGTTCACAGTTCAAACAGCTTCACTGCTATAATATTATATTGTAGTATGTATATGTAGTCTTTATTCACAGCACAGATTAAGTTAGACTAACATTCCACAGGTAAGATTAGGATTAGAATTTTAGAAATGAAAATGAAATGACAACTTTTCGATATTGTTGGATTTGTTCATAAATATTTATTTTATTCAAATATATGTAGGCGCATCCATAAAATGTCGGTTGGATCTAGTGACTAGTTGAAATTGAGGGTATATAGCGAAACCCAACACTAGTTTGTTCAGTATAAAGTTCAGTGTAGGGGCAGAACGCGGGAGATTCCGCTTGAGTCGTTTCACGAGTGAAGTCATTCTACGCGTGCTAAGATAGTCGTTCTGTACATTTTGGTGATTCCTCTGGTGCAGACAAGTAGGATGCTGTTGTTGAGAGGCTGTGCTGTGTTACGTTGAGATGGGTAAAGTTGCTGTTGCGTATGCATAATTTGGTGTTATCATGTAGTTGTGTCCTTCACACTGCAATGGGGACATACTGCGGTATGGTCAAACAGTAATTACTCTATGCTAAATGTATAGTGCGTTACGCTGTTTTATTATTGATAATGATAAATTGCGCAAGCAAGAGAGCAAGTAGAACATCAGGTCTCACACTTTTACCATTTTAATAATTAGTGCTATCCTGTTATTTCCCACACAATTAGCTTATCGTGTTGTAATTTCCGACTTATATATTGCGTTCAAATTATTAACCAAGGACGACCGGTTGTTTTTGCGTCCCCAACAGCAAAAAATTAAAAAACTGCGGTATCTTACCCCCACCAGTTTGGGAATTTTATCGCTAGTTCTTGAATGAATCGGTTCGATTCGAGAGGTTTTTGGATCTATTCAGTGAATCGAACGAATGTGAATTAATTTATTTCAAAGAATCGACTTTTCGATTAATCGATTTTAGATCGACATGCCTAACTCAGAGTAATTACTAGCATACGTACTATGTATGTAAATACGCTAAGATAACGAAAGATAGGCAGGCTAGTTTTTTTTTAAAGAAAGTTACATATCAACAATTTTGGGGTTTGTTAGATTTTATAGTTCGTATTTCAGATTGCGTACCTCATTTAACTAAACAATTTTGATTAATTATTTACTCTTTATTCGTTATTTAATTTTTGCATTAGCCTTGCTTATATATTATTATTTATTTTTTATATATTATTATTTATTTATGTTTTGTTAAGTTTTCCGTAGAATTCTACGCGGATTTTTAGTTAGCAATATATTTCATTACGGCAATATATTTAAGGCAAGTCAGAAGTCACTGGCCTAAAGGTCTAGATACCATGCCATAAACTCCAAAAAAAGTCAGAAGTCAGCCATCTTGAATTTAGTATTGTGCCAGTCGGGGGGGCGGTGACATATTTTACCCGTCATCGTCCTACATATTTCAGTGAATTTGTTAAAAGGGAAAAATAAGTGATTTAAAGTGTAAATAATTAGTTTATGTCAGGAATAAACGTGAAGATGGCGGGCCAAACTATAAACGATAGGCTCCTTGCCGCTCGACATAGCATCGCTGGGCAGGGATTGGCGAAATCAGTTTGTAAAGCTACCACCGAAGAAATGATTGCACCCAAAAAGAAACACTTAGACTGTAAGTACCTTTACAGTGTTTAAAAGTTATTATCAGTTTACAGGTTCCGTATTTTCCACTTTCACCAGTATCTACGACATTCCCTCAGTCACTTAATGTGGTCGATAATTATTATTCATCTATAGATATTGCAATCGACATTGACCGTTTGATTTCACAGAAGATCACGGTGTTTTTTAAGAAAACTTCCCTTACATTCTGTTTATCGATAACTTGTTTTATGTAATATTGTCCTAGCATTCCTATTATGTGTCACGTATTTTCGTGTTATGTCATGTGAATATAGACTCAATTGTTAATAAAAATCTGATGAAAATCTGCTTTTTACCTTTATATAACAATTTAGAGTATGACATAAAATATATGTAATGCAATGTAAACTGGAAATTGGTGTTGAACATTCATAATGTAATAAAAACCGATATTATAATTTAATAATTTATTCATAAATTGTAATTACAAATTAGTGCATCTTTAAATGTGTTAATTGTAATATTAATATACTCTATAAAGTCATCATTTTAAAATTAACTTTTATTGGTTCACCAAAATCTACCCTCATGTCTAATAGAGAAAGTATAAATTTAAAAAATTGCTTATAATATGAAGTAATGAGAGTCCCAAAAATTTTGTTTTCGTTAGCAGTTTTTCGGCAATAACCTTGAATTATTTGGCTAACACCAAAAACAAAAAATTAGTACCTGTTTTTTTAATAATAACTAAATCTGTTGACTTCTATTACTTGCATATGCATGGGGGCAGGGGAGGGTGTGTTTAGGGGATGCTGTATCCTTCCCCTCTTGTGGTAAAGTATAGTTTATAAGTAATGATTTTTTTTGTAAAATCATAACCTCACTTTTTTACACAGGAATATTGACGCTAAGTTACTTCTGTAATGACTTCGGCCCTGTGGGAAGTGCAGTCCCTTTGCCCTTAAGTTTTGTAGCTCCAGTCTGTGGGGTCTACTCTCCTTCTATGCCTTTGGCTTTACATAAACATTACAAGTTGGGCAGACAATATGTAGAGTTTTGGTGTGCCGATTTAGTTTTAGTACAGATTCAACCTATTTTATCCATAGAGTCAGGTTGATCTAAAGTGATATAATAGTGACTAATGAAACAATGTAATACAAATTGTTGTAGTTTTGTTTTCTGAAAAACCTTTCGACTGCTCTCCACTGTGACTCGGTTGTTGTGTATGATTATCATCTCCAGCCACAAATGAATTGTCTGAACATTAAGTTGTTTCTTCTCCAAAAGCAATTTTTTTGAGACATGCTGAGCATGGTCGTAATATATTTTCAACTTTTCTGTCTTTATTGTTTGTTCTCAGATATTCTAAATTTTAAATTTTTACATTTATTACAATAATTTTAATACATTTTATCATAACAATTTTATTTGGTCTCAAAAAACAAGCTTATTGTGGGCTCGAAGACAGATTATTTACTTATATTTAAAATGTCGCCACTGGACCAATTGTTTTTATGAGCTGCCAGTTAAATTATTGATATATTTAATTTGTAATTTCAAATTTATTGTCTTAATTTATTGATCACTGGTCTGTGATTATAAACACTGTTTTTTTTGTTTAAGCTTTAAACTGTTTTTCTTACACAAAATCTGTACAGTTTATAGAATTTTTTTTCTGAGAGAATAAGTTATCACATCTTCTCTTCATGGCACCGGCACACATCTGTTTACATAAAATAATCATGAAGTAATATATATTTCTTTATAACATGTATAGTCATTTATCACTTATATATGTTTGAATCTTTAAAAAGGCAAAAAAACCAGTTAACTTTTTTTCTAACATTGTTTCAATGATGTTCTTTTAAAAATCCAATTTATTACTGGTATCAAGGCATTCTATCTTATTCTTCAAGGGTGACAATGCATCTACATTTTGATATTTAATAGAAGATAGATGTAGGTGTCTATGGGCTACAGCACCAACTTACCATCTGGTGGACAGTGTGTTGGTTTATCAGCCTTATTCCGTAAAGAACTCTTTCTGATCGGCTTCTTTCTACACTAGCTAATATTGTTGTGCACTAGTGCTGCGAAGAGATGTTGCATCCCTTTGCATATTCTATCGCATCTATCACAGGAAGTGCTCAGATAAATTGTTCGGACTAATTCCAACAGAAAATTTTTGCTATTGCACATTGCGATAAAACTAGCGATACCATCCAGATGATTGGCGGTCCACCACTGTGCATATTACAAGAAATTTTCTTTCCAATGAAACTTCCATGTGAAATCAACTATTAACAGCAATTTTTTCAGACCAATACGACTTGGGGACCTTCAGGAAAAGAACCTACTCTTTTTTTTAAAAGACCGGCAACACAACAACAGTTCCACTGGTGTTGCAGTTGTTCATGCCGCGGTAGTCATTCCCACCAGTTGAGCCATTAATTTGGTTGCCTCCTTTTATGTAAAAAATTATAAATTTTAATACTAAAATGGATTTGGATTTACACAAACACTAAAAAGATAACATAATATCATATCTAAAATTAATGGCTTTAGATAATTTCAGTGTTAAACATAGCATTTCTGTATTTTAATACTTTTTTTTGATATGGCTATGGTTAGTGATGTTTTATGATGACATCTAGTCAATTTACAACCAGGATTATAATTCCATAATATTCAGCGCTAATTACTCATGCATTTGTCATGTAATGGCGGCATAACACAAACAAGTCAAATTGATCGGGAGATTGTGCTCTCTCAGAATACCAGTGTAAAATAGCAGCTTTATGCTGCTGTGTTTCATATTGTGAGTGTAGAGATCTGGAGACCCTTTTTTACTGGAAACGAGCCATTCCATCTTAGTAGTAGTAGTCTTCAGAGCAATGACAATGCATTTGCTTTTTGAAGATTGATGTGGATGTCTATGGGCTTTTTTAATATAGGACAAAAAAGGCCTACGCATACCCACCTCGCGGAGTCAAAGGCGGGTTATGTCTGACTCGCACCGACTTGTTCCACCTTCATCGCATGTTGGCAGGACCACGGCAACGCTTCGCACACATCCACGACCCCACCAGCGCCGGCCGCCTCATGGCGCCTCCTCGGATGAAGACCACTCTCCCCTTTCTCCTTCTCAAGTAAGGCGCACCAGACAAAATGGCGTGCCTTCCTCCACGGCCTCCAGCAGAGCAACGAACGCCCCCGTGTCCGATGCGCGAAGGCGATGTGGCCAAGAAAAACGTGCACTCAGAAGCACTAGACTTCCGGACCCCAGCGGCGGATCTGGTCTATGGCTCCGGCGCCAACCAGGATTCGGCTGCGGAGGGTAGCGAGACCGGCGCCTCGCAATACTGACACTCCTCTTCTCCCGCAGCCCAACCACCACCGCGTCAACGGTGCGGGCCCCATTTGAGTCGCGGAGGATAGGGCGAGTGGCGTATCGCCATACCAACACTCCTCTTCCTCCGTGACTCCACCTCGGCTGCAGCGATAGAGAGAGAGGACACCGCTCTCGCCGCAGCCCACCAGCACATATCCAAAGTGGGCTCCCCAAGCCCACGTGGAGTGGTCACCTCGGGCCGGCCCTTCACCTCGGTCCAGCCATGTGTTCCTCTTTGTTCACCGCGGGGGACCAAGCCATGGCTGCTATGCCCCCCGCTACGACAAGGCGGGAACCCGTTCGGTGGGGATGTCTATGGGCTACAACATCCACTTACTGACTTACTTATCAGGTAGACTGTGTAACCCCTATTCTATAAAAAGATGTAGGCATACGGTCTAAGGCACACAGCATCCACTGGACTATGTTTCTCACTCTTGCATAAAAATACAATGGCCAGATAATATAAATAAGATATTTGACCTCATTGATAGGTGGTATTGGTATCAATTAAAATCATTAAGATACCAATGTTTGTCATAAATGTCTGCAATTGATAGAACAAGGTTTTGTTTTGCTTCCAGTGTACAACACTGATAGTTGTAAATAAATCTATACTCAATGCACTGCTAAATAAAGTTCAATTTAGTTGGAGAGATTTGCTGTACAGATTTACACCACTCGACACTGGATGGACCTGGGGAAGGTCCGCGCCCTCACATAATACTAACGTAAATAATTCTGCCATATAGGTCTGGACTGGTTAGGGTCTTGTCCTGTGCTTATGGGGGACTTGTAACTAAACAAGTGGTAAAATTAAAAAGTTTGTACAACCGACTTCAATATAAATGAGTTATTTCGTTTATCCACCCTAAGAAATCCACCATAGGGTGGATGTTCAGATACGCGTGTCCGTTTATCCACCCCAGACACGGTGGATAATCGGAATTCGTATATTATTTTTCTTCAGATTCTCTCCCTCACCTGTGTAATGTTGCTTATAGAAACATATCACTGAATAAAAAAAAAGTTCAAAATTGAATTGCTTGCAAAAAAGGCTCATTTTTTACGCTAACATATCTGTTGTAACAAAAAAAATCTAATTTATTAAGGATATACAATTAAGTCTATGTGTAATGAAATTAGTGTTGGTCATTTCCTGGACATATTGCAGAATTTATAATTTACTTATTATAATTTTAAATAAGGGAAGTTTAATTTGGTTTAAATGCAATACGTTATATGATTTTCGTTTAAATTAATCAATAACATAATAAAGTACGAATACATTTTCAGTAGAACTGTACTTGGGGCGGAAAGGCGAAACAACAATCAAAAATTGAATTCCGGTTATCCACCCCGTTTAGGGTGGATAAACTAACAAGCATTTCCGGGTATCCAACTTAAATAATAATAATAATAATAAAACCCGCACACGTGGATGCCGCCGAGAATACCCCAGTGGTTGCTGATTCAAATGATGATGGAACATTCACCCAGGAACTAGAAATAGAGCAAATGAGGAGTACATTGGAAGAGGCGATTATGGAAACACGCAGTACGCCTCTCGAAAATCGACCGCGACTTCCCCGCATAGCCCTAAGCAAGCGGAATCGGGCTGTCGTGAGGGCTCTGAA